GAGAACCTATAATCTGCCTGAAAAGCATTAGCCTTAAAAAGCAGCCCGCGCTGCGCTCATACTGCACGCGTTTCTACCTAGAGGTGAATGTACCTACATCGTGCATGCATACGCGCGCGCTCCTGCACTTACGAAATTATTTTTTCCCTCCTTTTTTTTTATATTAAAAGTGTGACTACGAAAAAGAAAAGATAATATTTGCGATTTTCGCGTTTTAGCCAATTACATCTTCTTGTGTGTGTGTGTGGATATGTACAATCTCGAGTACGTCTCGTGCACGACACGACACGGTAAACTTTGCCGCTCGAGACGGATTCAACTGACCGTGAGGGAAGCAGCAGACGTACGTGTCACGCGTATTGACCGAGTAAACAGAGCTCACTCGTAATTTTGATAATTACTTCTCATTGCTGAGCTAAGCTACTACGTTGCTAAAAGACGAGTACGCGTCTTTTCTTTCTTTCGCTCTTTTTTTTTTTTAAGCAAAATGAAAAGGAAAAAAATAAATAAATAATAGAAAAAATACAGCAACGACGACGCGCGAGGGGCTGACTAATAAGAAGATATTTTTTTACTACTTAGCAGTCGTTCCATTTTCCATTATTCAACGATAACAAAAATGAGTTGGATCGTAAAAAACCCGTACATGAATACATACACGCTTCAATGACTAATGCTCGAGTGTAAAAATTTTGTCAGCTACTATACGAGCTGCAATATTTGAAGGAAAAAAAAGCAACAACTCACCACAGAGTGCCAATAACATTGTCTCCTAGGCAAAACGGCCTCGCACTCGTGATAGTAATAACTATTGGCCACCTCGGGCATTCTCCATCCGACACTTTTTGATCTCGGTATGCCGCCTCTCGTCCTCTCGCCCGACCGCATGATCGACGCTCTCTCTCTCTCCTCCTATCTCTCTTTCTTTCTCCCTTGCTCTTTCTCCCTCGCTCCTCTTTATCGCATTATTGGCCGCATCGCGCGGCGGCGGCGGCTACTACACTCCTTATTTTTTGTTTGTTATCGGGCCGACACTCGCGCATTATATCGGTGTGTATACAGGCGCGCAAGAACGCGCGCACACGTATACGGCACACGCACATGGACGCAGGATTCCGCAGACAAGCACACACGCACATACACACACACAGAGCGACAAGCGGATCAGAGCGGAGCAGTCGGGCAGGCAAGCGGAGAGAGAGTCAAGAAGTCGCGCGCGGCCTACGACACGAGGATGTGCATCATTTACAGCTGCAGTAGCGATACTTGCAGCAGCAGCCAAAGCTAAGAAATATCCAGGCAGAGTCGTCGGAAGCGCGCGCATGCGCCCGATGCCCAGCTTTATATGCTGCTGCTGCTTGTGTCTACTATACCACTGACTTTGCAGTGTGCATGGCACACATATATAGCTATACGATATCCGCACAACGTGTGCTGCACTACTGAACTTCGACTATATATACATGTATATTGCACGACGTGCTCTGCTCGCAGCAGCCTGCGCCTAAGCTTTTTTTCCATAAAGTGGGTGGATTGAATGACTTTTGGCGTGCGAGAGAGTGAAGCCGCCGCCGCCGCCGCATCTTCGTTATTATTCCTTTGCTCGGGAGCGACGCGTCGTTACGGATCACGTGGCCATTACATCTGCATCGCATCCTCCTTCCTTTTGCCTTTGTTTTTTTTTCTTCTCGTACCTATATCGATGCGTCGTCGAGCGTGGTGGAATTAATTATCAACGTTTCGAACGATCATTGTTGGGAGCCGTTCCCTCAGCCGAGATAAGCCGCATACATAATATATAATTAAATTGTATTCGCGTCGCAACTGCCGATTAAAAAATTGCTCCCCGCGCGTAATCCTCGACTCGGAGCGCACGCATATGAATTAACATTTTTCAATAAAATTCTAACACGAATGGCACATCATATGCAACTGCGATCCTTTGAATGCGCAGTAAGAATAAGCGGACTCGCATCTCTCTCTCTCTCTTTCTTTTGCTCGGTGGAGCCATGAGCTCTTAAGAATGAAGACACAAAGAAGCCAAGGGCTATTTTATATTCGCGCTCGAGCTCGTATACGTATCTGTGTGTCCCGGAAATATGCGCGCGTTGTGCATTATATATATTGTTATTAACGCCGGGAGGACTAATTTTTCATCCACCAAACCAGTCGAACCGGCCCCCTATGCATACGCCTGCATACTCGCGGTGTAATTTTTGCTCGGCTTTGCCAAGTTATCCATAGGCGCGCGCGCATATATGTAAACGCATCTCTTCGCGAGAGCCGCGCATACGTACGCATACGCGCACACATAAACGCGCGTACGATAATGTAGGCGATCCGCAGGCTGGCGCCGTTACTGTCCTTGATATTTTCTCTCGCTTATATAATGCGTTTGATTGGCCGCGATTGGTTAATTCGCGCGCGCTTCGATATCTTTGAGATCATCGAACTTGAGCACGAGAAGGCAGCAGCAGCAGCAAAGCTGCAGGCGTATTACATTATATAGCTATATGAAAATTTTCACTTGCACTGGTCGCTCGCTGCAGCTCACGCAGAGAAAGGAAGTTACCATGCCCAGGTCATTCTTTTTTCACGACGCATCATTAGCGAGCGGTATAACAATGGGCCGTGCGCGCGCGGCATAATTCACGTTCCAAATCATTTCGTGGGCAAATCTTTCTGTGGCCTCTCTCGTGATATATAACGTGCGCAACGCAGTCTGTCCTAATGGCCGCATCGATCGACTCTAATTTCCAGGTCTCGTTCTGATAATTATAAGCAATTGGCCGCGCGCGCGGCTGTTATATAGCTCTCTGCGGTGCGCACGGATCGAGCCAGAGCTGGCTTAGGCTCTAGCTGGAGCTGCTGCACGCGCGCCGTATAATGCGTACGTCCTCTCGTCGTCGTCGTCGTCGCGAGCTCGACTGCACTGAGAGAGTATTATAGTAACGTAGTAGCTCTCGCAGCGTATCCGGTTTTCATTTCAAATATTTGGGTTACGACTGCGACCGATCGAACATTATATTGTATAATATTTGCATATTTTATCCTACGAAACGTTCGATATTCAGGAATACGACGGAGCCTTGACTGCTGCCGAGGCTCTATACGCACGCGTCTAAATTTAGACGAAGGGAAAACGTGATAATTTTCGCATATATACTCGCGGGTCGGAAGCTTCCGGTCTTTTTCTCTTTGACACAAGCGATGAAGAGTCAAAAATAGCAACACGTGTTGTTGCTGCGGCTGCGACTGCACATCGTGTGTGTGTACGTTGCACGCGTACTATATATACGTAGAAAAGGGCACGTGCAGAAAACACGATAACATGGCAAAGCACATGCTGTGTGTGTGTACGCCCGAGACTCCCGTACCCGAGAGCTGTCTGCTGCCGTGATTGCATATCGACACAAAAAGTTTCGCCGTGCAGCCCCGCTCGCTCAAAGCCGTTTATTAAAAATAAACGTTTCGTCACCGCGTTTGTGTGTGTGCTACTGTCGATAAAACTCGGTGGCAACAAAAACAACACTTTTATCCGTGCGAGCCGAGGCACGAAAAAAAGAGGAAGAAATGCTCGCGCGTACCTATGTATCGGTAGATTCCCTCGCGGGACGCACAACTCATAATATATATATATATGTGTACGCGTTTGACAAACGTTCGCGACGCGCAGCGAGAGACAAGAAGCTACATTGTAGCGAGGCTGGCGCGTGTATACATTTCCATAAATCGCCGTGGGTGGTTGGCTGCGTGCGCGCCTACGCTACACGTATATAATGCGACTTTTCGCGCTCGCTCGCGCGCGCCTCAAAGGATGCGTGTGCATTATACGCGCGTGTGTTCCATAAGACGGAAGTGACAAGTGTATAAGTAGTAGGCCAACGGTACATTTTACACACGCACACATCGCACACATACACGCGCGTTCCTAAGCACGTGCTGGCTACATGTGTGTAAAGGACGAACAGAACAGCTCGGAGACGTGCAGCGCGAAAAATTCGCATGAATAAAACACGAGCTTCGAGCGTAGAGACCCTTTTTAATAAACATAAATATACTATATGCAATATTTCGATGTATTTATAAGCGCGCGCGAGCAGAGACGGCTTTGCCGAGAGAGCTAAGCAAATAACTTGCAGACCCGAAGCTCCGATAGCATCGTATGACTACCGCGCGGAGCCTGCTGCATATATAATATTCGTACGCGCACACTTTCGCGCGAGCTTTTTTTTGGTCTTCTGTGCATCTTACAAATTCCGAAGCTAGATTAATCGAGAGCCGTCGATATTTTTGCACGCGAAAAAAGACGAGAGCTTAATGTCGGTCATTCGTGAAAAAAGCGTGTTAAACTTTTTTGTTTACTAAAAGAGAAGAAGTAGAAGGAAAAAAGATCGAATAGCGCTACTAGCCCGGGGTGATGCGGTAGTTTTTTATTTCTGTGCGAAGATCGAGGTGATGGCCATCGCGAGATGCGCGCGCGACATTTTCGAGAGAAAGTCTATCATCTCGGAGGAAGGCTCGAGCAAGATTTCGCCTCGCGAGCTCTAATCGAGTTTGGCGAAAAGTGTCAATCTCGGAGAGCGAAACGACTGCACCGCGAGCTGGCTATTATGCAATCGAATTGCGCGCAGCTGTGCGACCTTTTATTCCAGCCACCAGGAACGAAATTGCACGCAGGGCTTTACGGTAAAAACGGCTGCAATCACGCGCGCGACGACGATGGAAAAATGAGGCGCTTCTCGGAGTCTATATAGCATGCATCATCCGACCTAGTTAAATGGAGCGCGCGACTAGGCTCGAGGGTATGTCAACCCTCGAACTTTACGGTACTTTTTATTGCGCTATAACGTGTGCGGGCGCAGGTACTATATCATGAATAAGCTATACGTATGCAGCGGCACGTCCTCGCAATCGTTGCTCTCATTGTCATTTTTCTGTTTACACGCGACGACGATGATTATGATGCATTTGACGAGCGGATGCCGTCGGATACTCACCGTGACAGTCGGACTCGGACTGGGACTGGGACTGGGCGTCGATTTAGGCGTCGAGGAGGAAGCGGCCTCGACGGTCTTAGCTGGCTTGGCTAGCGCTGGCGACGCGCCGCTCTTCTTCTTGCTCGTCGCGTTGTTGTTGGCGTTGCCTGTGCTGGTGGTGGTGCCGCTGCTGCTGGTGGCGGCGTTGGCGGCATTGATCGTCGCCGGCGCGGGCACGACAACTTGACCGACCGTTGGAAAGGCTCGAGCTGGATCTGCCTGCCATTGTTTGTGAATCTGTTGAGATGTGTCGCGGAATCTCGCGCTCTGCAACAAGAAAATTGCCGAATTGTATTATACGAGGCTGCAATGTATAGGCGACTGCGAGACTGCACTGCAGTCAGAGACAGAGACAGCGAGAGAGGAAAGTAATGTATAACAGTAAATTTATACGCGCGCGGAGCAATTGAATCGCTGACCACAGCAATAAAATCACCGACGAGCCGAGCTTTGAATATAAAACGCAATCTCTCTTTTTCCCTTCCTCTCTGCCGCATGTAAAATTGCGCACGAGGATTGAGATGTGTATGTATAAAACATCTTTCTCCTTTTCAGGCTGCGCCACATCTATTATGCATATATATATTTTGAGCTCGAGGATTCAATAGTTGTATTTCTCGAGTTTGCGTAATTTGTCAAAAAAGAAGAAGATGTACAAAAATGTACACAGGCAGCAGGGCGAGTATAATGGAATTTTAAGCAGGCACTCGTATATATGTATAGAAAGATCATCCTCTTGAGAGCTACGGTTGGGCGTTCTCGCGGAGCAAATATTTGACCTATACTCAAGCAGCCAGAGAGCGCAGTCGAATTATGATTTATTAAGGATTTTTCATTTTATGGTCCTATCTTATGTGGTGATAATGAATCAATGAAAAACACGATATTTACATTAACTCGCCAAGAGTCGTAAAGAGTAACGCTTGGAAATTGTTAATTAACTATACATACGAGTGGGATTTCGCAAAGCAAACACATTCCTATATTTGATGGATACTCATTGAATCGGCCGTAAGATATACCTTCGAAACTCGCGCGATCGCAGCGCAAAATTATTAGCCGTTAAACAGTGACGCAATGCACGCCGGGATCGTTTCACAAGTTCGGCCGATTTTGTATACATATGTTTCTCACACGTATATACACAGAGTGCATATGCATGCACGTTGCAGGTCGAGCTCGGCGATAAACGATTTTTTTGCGATTCTAATCTAATAATAAACTAGGGATTTATTTATCCTATTTGGATGGGAGGATAAAAAAGTCGTTGCAGCAGCTAGTAGTAGTGTGCGCTACGTGTGGTATACATTATAAGCGCAAGTGCATTAGCGCGCGAGGCTGCATATATACAGCTCGATGCAACAAGGGCGTTTTTCACGACGAGATATTACAACGGTATTATAAGCCATCCACATCAGCTCGGCCGCGCGAGCCGCCGCAAATACCACGTAGATATTTGCATGGCGTACACATACTCTTATAATATTATAAAATCCGATCGTCGTCGTCATCGTCGTGTTGGGGCTTCTCGACTGCTGGATCCGTGAACACCTCGTGCCGCTACAGGCACACATCGTGTGTCACCCTTTCTCATTGCATCGTTTTCTCACGTACAGGCCGAGTTTGTAGTGCCAACGTACAGTGCACTGAAATTTATCGAACGATATACGCCGATACGCAATTGCGCTCGGCGCGATAATGATAAAAGATGGTTATCTCCTTGATGATATAATGTCATAATGCATCGTATGTGTACATGTGGATATAATAAACTCTTGTGCGTTATACGTATGGGTGCACTTGAATCGTTGCGTTACGCGACGCACTAGCGATAGTTTCAAGCTCGCGTACATGTTTCTAGGCACTTGTTGCTGAAATATTTAAGTAGGCACCAGGGCAAATAAAGTTGGCTTGCGTATCGAGCTGCAGGTATATATTAGTATAAAAGGAGCTATTTGAGAAAATCAAACACGAGCTGACCGTACCTCGTCAAAAAGGTCATCGAGCTCTTTCTTCGGGATCTTAGTCCTCATACCGCCACATGCCGTCCGATGGATTCTTTCAACTTTACCGCGGCTCTTCGCAGTCGTCGTCGTCGTCGTCTTGCTCGTCGCAAACACTCCTCGCTACACTGGCGAACCTCTTGTTATATTCGTTTGTCATACATAACGTCTCTCGTCGAATGGGAACGCAACGCATTAAACAAGGTCACCTGTGTGCGAGCACCTCCCTCTTTTTTATTTTATGCGCTCGCAAACTTAACGATTCACCGCACTCGAACAACTGAAAATATTGTCATTCTTTTTTCTCTCCTCTTCTCGTTCTCTTTTGCAATTTCGTGTTGATATTTGCATGCGGCCGCGTGTATACAAATGAACGAGAGCGTCGACGCGCGAGCGAGCTATTACGAAACTGTTACGCGCATTTATCGTCGTATTATCAAGGCGTGTGTGTGAGCGCGCATATCGTAGATGGATGCGCATCAATCAGGCCCCGTGCAGGCCGACAGATCAACATGAAATTTAATTAAGATTTTTCATCGCTCGGCGAGCATGCACATTACCAAGCACGACTCGACTCGAGAGATCTCGCGTATTAAGAGCTGCCTCTTCCGCGTGTAAACAGTCCCATCTCGTGTAACCTACGCCCAAGCATACGCGCGCTTATCTATCCCGAGCTCTTTTTCCGGCTCGCTTTTCAGGCCTCGCGAAACCGATATACGTACGTACGCGTACAACAAATGCGAGTTATAATATAGTCTCTCGAGCTCCTTCGCCTGCGCTAGATTAGGTCTATTAGTTTTCGCCGCGTGTAGTTTATTCGTTTGTCGAGCTCTCTCGTACACGCTTATATCTATACGTAACTGTCGTGCCGCGCGGACCTTGAAGCTCGCATATAATTGTCGCTAAAAATGCTATATCACTCGAGCCTAAGCCTCTTAATTACCGCGCCGAATAATACGTATACGAGCGCGCGAGCGAGAAAGAGAGAAAAAAGTCGCAGCCGCCGCGCTCACGTGTATGTATAATAATGTCGTCCATTCATAGTGCCGTGCACGCACTGATGTCACTGCATTTTTTTTAGATCCGACTACAACATCATTTCTTTGCAGCTCAACGCCGCGTCGTAACGCTGCTGATGCTTCTTTTTTTTTCGTATTACATTAACAGCGATGCGCCGATCGTCGTGCACGTAGGTATATTGGAATACAATAATTCAAACGTCGTGAGTATTTACGCGCACAATGCCTTACGTAATATCGCCGATACGTACGTATGCACACTCGAGTGCAGTATATATAGATATAGAGAGTCGAGTAGAGAGAGAGATCCGCGCGCGTGACTACCTATACGGGCTTGCATTACACGTGTTTTCAATGAATAGGCATTACTTCGCCTTCTGCACATCGTTATTAAAGATAAACGCGAGTAATTGTGCCCATGCGCGCAGTTCGCCGAGGTGTGGACACTTCCGTTTTGGCACGATCGCGCTCGGCTGCAGCCATTTGTTTATCATCGGCCGCTACTCGACCTGCCCAATGTTTTGGCTCGCTCGAGCTTCTTTTTTTTTTAATTCATATATATTTAGCCTCTCCATGTGGGAATCGTATTATTGGCGTTATACTCGTACGTATTGCAGATATTTTCGCACGTAATCGAACGCGTGTCTTATCTCGGCGCGTATATGCACTTTATTATTATTGATACTTTTTTCGTATTTTTTAATTAAGCGCTACACTTATTTATCGGACGCTTGCACGGAGCCGTTATCGGCAACACATAAATATATATTAATTTCCTTGCAAGAGGAGGCAGTTTTTAACGTATCGACTCGTGTATGAATAAGCGCATCGGCGCAGGTACACGTACTCGCACATACGAGATCGGGACTTTCGAGAGGAAAATTTTCACACACTGCAAACGATTCGCCTTTACGCGCTCGAGAGACGTACATCAAATGATGAATGATACCGGGCTCTTTGAATTATTGCAGTCGGTTTGTAATTTCGTATTTATGAAAAAAAACACGGGCCGGCGCGATCGGTTCTCGATAACGGAGGCTCTCTTTTTCGACGCGACGCGATGCTGCCGCGTGCGTACGTACACGAGAGAGCGCCGATTTCTTTGAAAATTTATCGCGCGCCTCGTGTACCAGCGATCTTTGGTCGAAAAATCGGCGCATGCATGCGACCGGCACGAAATTGCAAACGGGAACGAGACGGCCGAGAGTAGAGAATTTTTCGCACTTTCGACGCACACATGGATCACTCGACACTCGCACTTGTTTCACACACACATACACAAAATAACACGATAAGAGAAGAGTCCTTACGGAGCAACAAAATATCGCGTATATAATAAATCGGCGAGCGTGGCGGCTGCCGCACGATCGAGCGTTTGTATCGCGACTGCGCGCCAGCCTCGCATATAAACACATATACTCTCTTGGCTCGCGCGCGCTAGTCTTTGCCAGAGTTGTTTCTCCCTCCCGCGCTTTAACTCTCTCGCATACACACGTATATATGCGGCGCGCAACACAACACTGCACTCACACGAGCGTACGAAAACACACGGACAGAGAGGCAACATTGCATTTTTCGCTTGCTTCCGGTAGTGTGTGTATGTATGTGCTGGTGGGGGTGCAAGTCTTTCTTTCTCATACTCTCTGTTTATCCCTCTATATACAGCTTCCTTTTTGTCGTTTTGATTTGATGATGCTGCTGCCGCCGCTGCCACCGCCGCAGCCGACGCCGCTGCTGCTGTGGCTCTGCGGCTGCCTGTTGATGCAGAAAAATGTAGGTGGGGATTCAAGGATATATAAATGCGTGTGTGCGGCCCGCCGAGCTGTTTCTCTCTCCGGACGAGAAAAGGTTTGTGCTGCAGCACACGTATACAAAAACACGCGTCTCTGGCCTTTATAATTGCGTATTTTTGGACCGTTTATTACCCCTAAACATTCGTCGACGTACCGCGTAATGAACTGCGGGAAAAACGTGGTAAAGACCGGCAGTAAAAATGATTGAATTAGTAGATAAAAAACCGGTTGACTAGAGCCACGTGCGCGAAAAAAAAGGTGCGATTCTCGTCGTTACGCATATATAATACACTTTTCTATACGAGAGAAAAATTAGTCCACTTACTGGTTTTATGATACGAATAAATTTTAAAGACCAGATATCGCATGAGCGATACGACGAAAAAAAGAGCACAAATCGAGCAACTAGACGCAATCGAGCATACAGCATTTATTTATTTCGATTGCAATTG